AAGGAATCAGTAACCATGGGACTCCGGGTAATATGAATTTCAGAAATAAATTTTGGAAAATTAGATTGTGTAATGTACGTTACTAATTTGAATCCAAGAGCAACTTTAGTATCGATTAATTGTAGGAGAACCTGGGGGCTCCCAATACAACACCTAAAAATGACAAAGTAGCAAAATATATCAAAGGGGAGTTAAGTGAATACCACTGGACAAGCTATACAATTTATTTTATGAAACATGTAAATTAAGACAATTTGAACACATCACCTATTCTATTTTCCCTAGAGGCACAATGGATATTTATTGAGGGCACGAAACTCAACGTGCTACTATACCTTAAATACCCGCACTACGGCCACGATGTTGATGGCTGCCCTCAGCCCCGAGGATACAGGCTTGCGGCCCTGTTCCTAATACACTCCCAAGACACACTGATGAAATTTAGTTTTTCCAACTTATTGCTGGGAAGGATTACTCCTCCTACCATCTAATACAGCCCCAGGGCTCCACCCATTATTTTGGCAATGGCCAACCATTTAACACGTAGGCCTGAGGTCTGGCTCTCTAGGGCCAATAAGGACTTGGCCCTTATCTCAGGCCAATCACCTTCACTGATCTGTCGTGGAAAGCTACATGAATTTCTGAAGATTGAGTCAGCTCTCCCCAGCTAAAGAGAAGGGGGACAAGGCGTGTCTATGGAGCCCAGGCACCTGCGAGCAATGTTTACAAAACTGATAATTTATGTTCAAGCCTGTCTCCTCTAAGATAGGAGTAGGGACATTTGACTCTGCCTGGTATGGGGAAGGCCGCTGCTGAGAGGGAAAGAGAGGGAATGAGAGGGAAAGAGAGGGGATGAGAGGGGGAAGTTGAGTGGGAGAAGCCAAGGTATCCAAGACCACCCTACCCTCAGGTCAACCTCTTGACCTTGACAAATGGGCGACAAGGGGGGGGAGGAAGAGGAGACGAATGACGGCCAAGGGGAGGGGAGAAGGAAGGAGGGGAGAGGGAGAAGGAAAGGAGGGGAGAAGGAGAGGGAAAAGCAGGGGAGAAGGAGCAGGAGAGGAGGGGAGAAGGGAGAACCAATGAGCTGAGCCCCAGATCATTACAGTGACAGTATTGGGCAGCATCACTCATCCTGTGAGTGGACACACCGCCATAGTGACAGTATTGGGCAGCGCCACTCATCCTGTGAGTGGTCACACCGCCATAGTGACAGTATTGGGCAGCATCACTCATCCTGTGAGTGGACACACCGCCATAGTGACAGTATTGGGCAGCATCACTCATCCTGTGAGTGGACACACCGCCATAGTGACAGTATTGGGCAGCATCACTCATCCTGTGAGTGGACACACCGCCATAGTGACAGTATTGGGCAGCGCCACTCATCTTGTGAGTGGTCATACCGCCATAGTGACAGTATTGGGCAGCGCCACTCATCTTGTGAGAGGACACACCGCCATAGTGACAGTATTGGGCAGCGCCACTCATCTTGTGAGTGGTCATACCGCCATAGTGACAGTATTGTGCAGCGCCACTCATCTTGTGAGTGGACACACCGCCATAGTGACAATATTGGGCAGCGCCACTCATCCTATGAGTGGACACACCACCATAGTGACAGTATTGGGCAGCGCCACTCATCCTGTGAGTGGACACACCGCCATAGTGACAGTATTGGGCAGCGCCACTCATCCTGTGAGTGGACACACCACCATAGTGACAGTATTGGGCAGCGTCACTCATCCTGTGAGTGGACACACCGCCATAGTGACAGTATTGGGCAGCGCCACTCATCCTGTGAGTAAACACACCGCCATAGTGACAGTATTGGGCAGCGCCACTCATCCTGTGAGTGGACACACCGCCATAGTGACAGTATTGTGCAGCGCCACTCATCCTGTGAGTGGACACACCGCCATAGTGACAGTATTGGGCAGCGTCACTCATCTTGTGAGTGGACACACCGCCATAGCAGCATGTACAACACTCCCCAATAGGAAGATATCCACTGCCTATGACGTATACGAGCAGCACTCAGTGGGGCAGCCAGACTGAGCAATGGAACGATGAACTAACACACTTGCCAGCACACTACACAACAGGACGGAATTGCAATAAGTACTCCACGTACTCTATAGTTCTTTAACATGAATTCATTAATCAGAGTAAGACATCTTGTGTCACAAATGGTAACCAAGCAAAGGGTGCAATGTGTCAATGGTATTGAAGGAAGCAACAGTATTTACTTACACCACTGTGGCCATTAATGTCGAAGAGGAAACAAGAGGTTTCTGTCTCTCTGTCGTATGCTCTCTCTCTTTGCCGACTTCTCTTTCCCATGTCACAGACTTGTTCTTTGAGCCCAGATTCTTGCACTGGGCATGACAGAACCACGCCAATACTGGCCGGTTGCAGGCCTGACCTCTCGGAATGTTGGCTTACAAACCAATCACAGAGCAAGGCGATGAGTCACAATAACGTGGCTGAAATATGTTGACCAATCCACACACTAGAAAATGAAGGGACGACGACGTTTCGGTCCGTCAAGGAGCATTCTCAAGTCGATAGTGAGACTCGACTTGAATGCCCACAATCGACTTGAGAATGGTCCAGGACGGACCGAAACGTCGTCGTCCCTTCACTATCTAGTGTGTGGATTGGTCAACAGAGCAAGGCTTCTGGGGTCCCACTTTCCTGGGGTGCAAGGGGAGAGTCCCTCGCCCAACCTGCTCACCACCTCCGCCATATATTTAATAAAACTATTGCCATGTACGCTGACGTTTCATTGGTCTGCCTTTTACCCAAATATATATGACGACTTCTGCCGGCCACAATACTACCTTGAAATCATTTTAAGAACACTTGAGAACACTTAAGAACACTTAAGAACACTTGAGAACACTTGAGAACCAGTTCCACTACAGGAACTGAAGCTGGGGAGTTACAGTGACGTGACTACAGTCAGGTGTGTCACGGGACGTACTGTGTTACAGTGACTCTCAGCGCTCTTGTCCCTAGTGACAGTGTGACATTTATCTCTTCCTCTTAGCTTGCTCCTCTGGCACTCTCCCACCTACCCCAGCCTCAGAACGCTGCACTTGCTGTGTGAGGCATCAACGCTGGCGCCTCACAGAGTGCGCATGTTTCACTCTGAATGATGTCGGCGCGATAAGGTAGAGTGAATATTTCACACTGGGTTAGTAATGTTGTTATTGTGCTGGGTGTAATTTCCAGGGGCAGCGACCTCTGGGCTGCTTTGTCTTGTTGCTGCTGATCTTATCAGGTGGGAAGAGAACGGTAGCGTTTTGGCAGTTGCTGGGGAGGAGGGAGGGGGGGGGTGTTTATATTGTTATTTTAATTGCTTTTATTATTATTGCTCCGCACTATGTGATGGAGACTAACTGCTGGCAAGTGAGGCAGTACCTACTAGCACTTACCTATGAGTCTCTACAGGGGGAGTGAGTTCTAGCTCCTTATGCGTCGCCTAACTGGCCTTGTACTCGCCTATCAGTGACGCTGTGGGTGATGTACACACATACTGGCTTAGCGTTTCAATCACTTCGTTCAGAGCATTCCACTTGTTGGGTACTTGTACAGGGTGAGAGTATCTCCTTCCACTCCTTCCATGCCTTTATGTTTCTAACTTCCACTTGTGTCCACTTGTCTGGCTACTTTCTCTCACTTTGAAAAATGGCAGTTTTGTCCACTTGGCAATTACCCTTGTTACTTTGTATATCGCGATCATGGCCGCTCAGTTTCTCTCCTACAGGGTTCTGAGGTCTAGTTTCCTTGGCCTGTCCTCATACACTTTATTTATACCATTAAGGAACTTTGGTGAATAAAACACTTAGGTGTTGACACTAAGTCCTGGACCTGTGTAGTTGTGGTCCTGAACCTGTGTAGTTGTGGTCCTGGACCTGTGTAGTTGTGGTCCTGGACCTGTGTAGTTGTGGTCCTGGACCTGTGTAGTTGTGGTCCTGGACCTGTGTAGTTGTGGTCCTGGACCTGTGTAGTTGTGGTCCTGGACCTGTGTAGTTGTGGTCCTGGACCTGTGTAGTTGTGGTCCTGGACCTGTGTAGTTGTGGTCCTGGACCTGTGTAGTTGTGGTCCTGGACCTGTGTAGTTGTGGTCCTGGACCTGTGTAGTTGTGGTCCTGGACCTGTGTAGTTGTGGTCCTGGACCTGTGTAGTTGTGGTCCTGGACCTGTGTACTTGTGAACCTGAACCTCTGTAGTTGTGGTCCTGGACCTGTGTAGTTGTGGTCCTGGACCTGTGTACTTGTGGTCCTGGACCTGTGTAGTTGTGGTCCTGGACCTGTGTAGTTGTGGTCCTGGACCTGTGTACTTGTGGTCCTGGACCTGTGTAGTTGTGGTCCTGGACCTGTGTAGTTGTGGTCCTGGACCTGTGTAGTTGTGGTCCTGGACCTGTGTAGTTGTGGTCCTGGACCTGTGTACTTGTGAACCTGAACCTCTGTAGTTGTGGTCCTGGACCTGTGTAGTTGTGGTCCTGGACCTGTGTACTTGTGAACCTGAACCTCTGTAGTTGTGGTCCTGGACCTGTGTACTTGTGAACCTGAACCTCTGTAGTTGTGGTCCTGGACCTGTGTACTTGTGAACCTGAACCTCTGTAGTTGTGGTCCTGGACCTGTGTACTTGTGAACCTGAACCTCTGTAGTTGTGGTCCTGGACCTGTGTACACGTGGATATGATCGTCTATGGTTGTGGATATATAACGACACTATAGTGAACAAAGGTGAGATATGACAAAGATATAGTGAACAAAGGTGAGATATAACGAAGATATAGTGAAAAAAGGTGAGAGAACGAAGATATAGTTAACAAATGTGAGATATAGCGATGCTATAGTGAACAAAGGCGAGATATAGCGAGGTTATAGTGAACCGCACATACAGGCGTCAACAATTACTGACTCCGCCGTGGAAGACCAACTTAAAATGAGGTTGTCAAAGTGGGCGGCAAATTACGCTTCAAAGTAGAGATGGAAGAGGAGTACAAAGATGGAAGTCATCCATCTCTTCCATCTTCAAAGATGGAAGAGAAGAGTAGAGAGGTACAGGAAGGTGACGGGAGGGTGCACAGGGGGTATGAGTCAAGAATGATGAAGAAAGAATGGATGGAAAAAGAGGAATGATGGGAAGGGATGAGAGAGAAAGGGCGACAGAGGAAGGGAGACTCGGAGTATTGAGCGAGACTTGGGGATGAAAATAGTGGTAAATGCGAGGGGGAACTACTGTGACTCACTGCTCCTGCTGTCCCTGCTACTGCTGGTACTCTCACTTCTACCTGTTCCTTGATACCTGCTTGATGGGGTTCCTGGGAGTAGTTCTACTCCCCAAGCCCGGCTTGAGGCCAGGAGCTTGGTCCAACTGGCTGCCCAACTGAGATGGAACTGTCCAACAGTTGATGAAACTGAGAACTGATGGAACAGTCCAACTGAGATGGAACTGGACAACTGTCCAACTGGGAGTAGTTCTACTCCCCAAGCCCGGGTCGAGGCCAAGAGCTTGGTCCAACTGGCTGTTGCTTGGAGCGGCCCGCAGGCCCACATATCCACCACAGACCGGTTGGTCCGGTACTCCTTTAAGTAAACTATTTAGTTTCCTCTTCAAGATGTCCACGGTTGTTCCGGCAATATTTCTTATGCTCGCTGGGAGGACGTTGAACAACCGCGGACCTCTGATGTTTATACAGTGTTCTCTGATTGTGCCTATGGCACCTCTGCTCTTCACTGGTTCTATTCTGCATTTTCTTCCATATCGTTCACTCCAGTATGTTGTTATTTTACTGTGTAGATTTGGGACCTGACCCTCCAGTATTTTCCACGTGTATATTATTTGATATCTCTCCCGACTTATACTGAATTTTGTAACTAGCTCATCAAGATTGTAACTTGCTTAGCTGAATGAATTGTGGGGTTCAGTCCCTGAGCCCATTATGTGCCTCTGTAACCCTTTCCACTACCGCCCACAAGATGGGTATGGGGTGCATAATAAATGAACTAAACTAACTAACTCTCCCGTCTTCTTTCTAGTTGCCATAGCACTCTATAGCCACTATTGGGACTATTGGGAGCTGTCTCAAAGCTCTCCATTTGGAGAACTTTGAGACGATCCCAATAATATAGGTGCTTTATAGCGTCTATGCGTGCCGTATATGTTCTCTGTATTCCCTCTATTTCAGCAATCTCTCCTGCTTTGAAGGGGGAAGTGAGTACTGAGCAGTACTCAAGACGGGACAACACAAGTGACTTGAAGAGTACAACCATTGTGATGGGATCCCTGGATTTGAAAGTTCTCGTAATCCATCCTATAATTTTTTCTGGCTAACGCAATATTTGCTTGGTTATGCTCCCTAAACGTTAGGTCGTCAGACATCATTATTCCCAAATCCTTGACATGTTGCTTGTGTTTTGTACCCTGTTTTGTACCCTGATTTGGTTGTGTTTTGTACCCTGTATTATGTTTAAGGTCCTCATGTTTACCGTGCATGAGTACCTGGGATTTATCACTCTTAAACATCATGTTATTTTCTGTTGGCCAGTCGAAAACTTTAAATCAGCCGGTTTAAATTATTCCTTCTTTGTAGGGAAAGTCGCGTCTATTTAACTATTTCCGGTATTTTTTTCCTTCCTTTGTAGTGTCGTCTGCGTTCTCTTTCTACGTCGGGGCTCTTTCTGGCTTTCCTCAAAGGAACATGTTTCAGGCAGACTTTATGTGCTCCAAAAGGCTCTTTATATGCTCCAGACAGGCTTTATATGCTACCTCTACTCCCCCCCCCCCCTCTGCCCTCACTCCCACACTCCCAAACCCTTTTCATCTCCCCTAACCCTTCTCCTAGCTCCCACATTAACCCTTTCACCTCCTACCCATGACACTCCTCCCACACACGCAGCAGACCAAGCCCATGCTGGAAGTGGTTACATCCAACCCCAAGGAACCAGCCAAGATATCAGCCAAGATATCATTGAGTCCTGTGGCTTCCACAGGACTCAAGCCCTGTGGAAGCCACTCAAAAGTACTAACAAATCACTACAAACTGGATCTACCGACGTTGCACCAATATATAAAAAGGGTGATAGCCAGGAGGGACTAATCTTCTGGCTAATCACTCCCTAATATGCAAACTAATAACGGGAATTTAAAAAAAAAGATGACTTTTGGAAGATTTAATCATCTGGCAAGTGGCTGCTAGAATTTAAATACAGAAAATGCAACTATAGAACATAAAATATGACCTGGATGCTGCCCTCAACATACACCTATACAAGGTGGACAACTGTGAAGACTGCTTTTACAAGACGATGCGTCACAGTAACGGGGCTGAAGACATGATGACCAGACCACACACCGGAAGCTGAAGAGATGACGACGTTTCGGCCCATCCTCCTGGACCATTATCAAGTTGACAGTCGACTTGATAATGGTCCAGGATGTGTAACACCCAGGAAAATTCATTATCTCTCACTCTCTCTCATTCTCTCACTCTCTCATTCTCTCATTCTCTCACTCTCTCATTCTCTCACTTTCTCATTCAACCCTCGCAAGCACAACTAGGTGAGTACAAGAGCCACCAGGAGAGTCAGTGTGACTCTCCACAACACAGCCCTCACTACCCAGACACACCACCTCTGTAACGTTGGATAATTATAATACGAAATTTAACCCGATGCTCTTGAGGCGAGGTGAAGTGTACGTAAGTGGTTGACGGTGAGAGAGAGAGAGAGAGAGAGAGAGAGAGAGAGAGAGAGAGAGAGAGAGAGAGAGAGAGAGAGAGAGAGAGAGAGAGAGAGAGAGAGAGAGAGAGAGAGAGAGAGAGAGAGACTAACAAGCTAAACAGATCGTCCAATAAAGTGTCTTAAAGAGATAAAGTTCATTACAGTCAAGCAGAAGATGGAACGTCTCAGACACCAACATTAACCAGATATACAGAGATGCAAATCAAAGAAAGTGCAGACCTTTATAGCTTCTTGGTGTACACACAGAGTTTAGTTTACCTCACTCCCGGGATACTTTCCGGGGGTAATCAATAACACTAGCCTCACTAACCATCCAGACCCCAACACCCAACCTCGTGGCAAAATGGTCTCCCGACAAAGTGGATGACCAGGGTTCAGGGTTCGACAGGTCAGGTTGGGTTCACATCCTGCCTCAGCTCTCATTACGCGCCAGTAATTGAGCTTCGCGGGTCTCAAATGCCTGGATTAATTAGCGGGATTTATAATTATCCTGCCCCGGCTACCCTTTAATGAACTGTGGTCCGGTCACACTTTGTGTTAGGTTCATTGACCTCGTGTTGTCAGGTGAGGGGGCCCCCTGTGTCAGGTGAGGGGGCCCTTGGGTGTCAGGTGAGGGGGCCCTTGGGTGTCAGGTGAGGGGGCCCTTGGGTGTCAGGTGAGGGGGCCCTTGGGTGTCAGGTGAGGGAGCCCTTGGGTGTCAAGTGTGGACATCCTGTGTATGTCAGGTGTCGTGCCTTGTGTGTGTCAGGCAACGGCCTCATTGAATATCAGATAAGGGCCCCCTGTGTCAGATAAGGCCCCCCCCTGTGTCAGATAAGAGCCCCTGTGTCAGATAAGGGCCCCTGTGTCAGATAAGGGCCCCCTGTGTCAGATAAGGGGTCCCTATGTGTTATAAAATATTGGTACTCACAGCCTAATGGGACAGAACAAGTCTTTTTTTTCAAGTTGCGGAGGGCAGAAGCAAGCCGAAATAAGCAACAAGACTTAAGTACCCTTGATTTCCTTAGTTGACCAGTACATAAAGGAGAGCTTGTGGTACCATGTGTTAGTTAACACCCAGTCACACCCTGGCCACATCCCTCTCAACCCTTCACCACAAATCCGGGTTATAACGTGGGGCAAGATTCTAAACATAGGTCAGTAGATCGAGGATAAAAATGCTACTAAATATTAGTAAGTTAGGTTATTAACTACTTGTGCTTGAAGATTCATTTGTTATTAATGATACAAAAATAGATGCTAGTCGAATCAGATAGGCCGTGGAATTATCTGCATTTATGAAGTAATCCAAAATAAGTTTATTTATGTAGATTTACAAGAGATCAAGACGAAGAGGTTCCTGGAGTCATCAGGTAACTCATCAAATTATTATGAAAGAATCAGGTATAACATTTGGGGTTTACGGCTCATGCTCGGTGATGATATGGAAAATCGGTTTACTGAGAATTATATAAAATATATATAAATGTACTAATTTCCCCTGTATTTTAATGTAAATTTATTCTCCAATTTTTGTAAATCGTTTATAGATAAATAAGTATAACATTCAGGGGTTTTTAAAGATCATGTTCTGTACTAATGACACACTTGTTCACTAAGAATTGTAATTTATAATTGCCTTGTAAAACTTATGTATATGTAATTTATATTGTATTTTCTTAAATAAAGATAAAAAAAAATTATTATGGAAGTTCAAGTGTAGCCTCGCCCATGCTGGGTAGTACTCACAGAGATAATTATTCCCCAAACCTTCAGCCACTGTGGTACTCCTGCCACATACACCAGCCTGTAAACCAGTCTTGCATTATTGTCTCTTGTGAGGAACGGAGTCAAAAGCCTTTGGGCAGTCCAGGAAAATGCAGTCTGCCCAGCTCTCTATATCCTGTTTAATTACTGTCATCTTGTCAAAGAACTAATAGGTTGGTCAAGCAAGACTTTCTTTTGCTAAATATATACTGATGCTTGTAAACCAAATTGATATGCTCTAAATATTCTATGAGCCTTCTTGTGACCAGTCTCTGTAATATCTTACAGGAAATACTTGTTAGTGACACCGGGCTGTAGTTCAGGGGCTCCTGTCTTGTATATGGGTACCACACTTAATTAATTTTAACAACAAAGACTCGCATGGAGCAGAACAAGCTCCACAATTATTCCTCTTCGACAAAGTGTTACGGGATGTAATGTGTCCCATCATCAGCATGTTACTTCGTTTACATTACGGAAGTCCTCTCTCTATTCCTGTTCTATCTATCTATTGTTGGTCAATAATAATAGTTAGGAATACCAGTTAACAAACACCAGGGTGAACAATA